TTGTAAAACTGTTTTTATAAGTAGAGGGAACACACTATTAAATAAGGAGGAGAAGTATACTGTGGCAAATCCTAAACTAGTAACATAATTGTCAGTTGTCATCATCAGGAATTATGTGTATACTATACATAAATTGTATGCTTTTATGAGCTTCACAGAGGTTGTTTAAACTTTATTACCACAAATAACTGAGTATCCATCATCATAAGATACCATGACAGCCCTGATTGCTAGGTGATAGGGGTTTTCAGGTCTGTTACAATTTTTGGGGACTGCCTTTATATAGTGTTGACCATATTTGTTTTCAACATCCCTTTTAAAGCGTTTTTGTTGTTTTTGTTTTGACAGACTCCTATAGCCTAGGCTAGTTTCCAGCTTGCCATGTAGCTAAGGATGGATGACCTTGAACTCAAATCCTCGTACCTCTACCTCCCAGGTGCTGGCATTACAGGACTTGTGCGTGTTTCACCACTGATGGAGCTAGTCTCTAACCCTTCAGTTTGTTTAATAGGTTCTTGTTATGTAACCATGTTAGTTCAGACTTTTGATTCTCCTGTGTCTCTCCTGAGTGCTAAGCTTACAGGAATGTGCTACCATGTCTGTCTATCTTTTATTTGTTGTCATTTTTTTGGAGAAGATCTTATATAGCCCTGTCTGGTTTCCAATTCATGATATAGCCAAGGGTAACCTTGAGTTTACTTTAATAAAAAAATTTTGAGATTATTTTTATTTTATGTGAACAGTTGTTTTGCCCATGAATGTCTGTGTAGCCATCTAGTGTCTGCAGAGGTCAGAAAAGGGTGTCAGATCCCCTGGAACTGTAGTTGCGGATAGCTATGAGCCAGTCTGTGGGTGCCGGGACTTGAACTCAGGTCTTCCAGAAGAGCAGCCAGTGCCCTTAACTGCTAAGCCTTCTCTCTAGCTCCGATTTATCTTAATTTAAAATAAGTTTATTTAGTTCTTAGTTACTGTTGTGTATCTATTTATAACATATGTGTGAAGGTAAGAGGACAACTTTATGGAGTTGATTTTCCCCATCACCTTTATGTGGGTGCTGAGAATGGAACTCAGGTCATCAAGCTTGCTTGGCAGGTGGCCAGCTGAGCCCTCTCTGAATTTCTTTATTATCACTGTGCTTCTACCTTCCCAGTAGGACTGCAGGCATGTGCCATGCTTGGTTCATGTGGACTGGGGATTGATGTGTGTTGTTTCATGTGTGCTGCATTATACCGACTGAACTGCATCCCCATACCAATTTATAGCTTTGTGTTAGCTGTTGTATTGAACAGAGCCTGCCTGGGGGCTATGGCAGAAGTCAGGAGATGATTCGGAGGCTTCTATAGGAGACTCCCAGCATTAACTGATAGCAGTGACTGTGTGTACATACACATGCATGGTTTTGAGTCGAGAGTTGTCTGTGTTGCTCTGGCTGGTCTTGATTTAAGCTTTCTTGTTACTTCAGCTTCACAAGTAGTTAAGACTAGAGCCCTGTGCCATACTGTTCCATCTAGACACATATTTTAAAATTCTGAAGTAGTTTCAAATCTGTAAGAACACTGTTGTAAAGAACACTGTAAAGAACTCTTGCAGTTTCTAAATTATGTCACAATTGTTCATTTCTTTCTCTTTTCTCCTTCCTATCTTTCACCCTTAAATACTTAAGTACTAAATACTTAATTATTTCATCCCCCACCAGAAGATAACAAGCAACACCCCATCCCAGGCTTTCCTATGTTACCATAGTGTGTTTCTTCCATTCAGAAAATAAACAGGGATACACCACTGGTGTTCATTTTACAGGGATGGTTTACATTTTGCTATCTGTCTTAGTGGTCTGGAATTCTTCCTGCAAACACACTTTTTTTTGTTATTGTCGTTTTTTGTTTTTAACATGCCTCCTTGATGTCCTTCATTCTAGAATAGCTCTTTAGCCCCTTTTTCCCTGTCTATCATGCCCTTAACAGTTTTTATGCAAACAATTAATCATAATCTGGATCTGTAATTGTGTCCTTGTGACCAGACTCAGTCCATACAATGGCAGGTATGTCAGAGGCCTGATGCTGTGTTATGATTCTTTGAGTCACGTGGTGCTGGTCACATGATTACAGATGCGTTGCCATCTGTCAGGTTTCTTCACTGTCAGGTCAGTTTTACCTTTTGTGTTTTTATTTATATTTGGGGGAGATAGTGTGACTGGGTACTAATGTCCTGTCATAGTTAACATCCCCACACCCCTATCCTCCCTGAGTCTGCTAGCCTAAATCAGCCACTTCTCAAACAGTTGCCACATGCAAATTATCTCTATCCTGTCTTACATTTATTAAAGCAATGCTTCCACCATTAGAAAGAGCCCTCTTTCCTTCCCTCTCTCTCTTCCTTTCTCCATATGATAGATATAGATATATTTATTCATTTGCTTCATCGGTTAGCAGATTGTTAACTGGAACCACTGCTGACTATTGAGGCTTCTCTCCCATCTGTCATGCTCTTCTCCCTCCCACCAGCTCCATTTCATTGGCGTCTAGGGAATATTGCCACCTACATCAGGCAATCTGCTCTTCCCCACCATATCATTTCTGTGGATACCAGACACTTGCTGCAGATCACTATGCATAAAACCCCAGCAGCCTCATTGCTCTGCTGTCTTAGATGCTGGTATCTTTGTGTTGGGGAGGCTAGGGAAGAAAAAGACAGATAGGAAGAGGAGGAAAAATGGGGCGAAAGGTAAGAAGCCAGGTTATGATATGTAAACATACTTTTTGAATAGAAAGCTGATAGGATTTGAAGGTAAATCCAATATAAAGAGAGTAAACATTGGTTCTAAGGTTTTTGGTTTGAGTCACCAGGAGAATTGAATGTCATTAAGTGACAATTAGAAACAGTAAGTAGAAGGAATACGACCTCCGTTTGGAGTGTGCCAAGTTGGAGTTACTTTTTAAACAATCATGAGATATAAACACAGTGTGTTCCTTATGCTTCTTGACATTATCAGCTGGAGGTACATGTTTGGGAATGCTTGACATGGAGATGCTGTTTAAAGCCATGAGTTCAGTGAAATTTCAAAGAGAAAACATTTGATAGAAAAATTCATGCTGAGCCCAGGGGCAGTTTCATGTTAAAGGGATGGGGAACCATTAAGGTAGGGTCAGCCAGTGAGGAGGGAGGAAATCAGGTGACTGCTTGCTAAGTGAAGAAAATGTTTTAGTTACTAGGAAAGGATCAGACTGTCAGATGCTCGTGACTGGTCAGGAGAGACAAGGACTGTGAACTTAGTAGTATGGAGGTTACTGGTGACACTGTTATGTATGGAGTCGGGTGCTTGACGGGAGTAGGTTCAAGAAGGATGGGGAGAAATGAGAGACTGCAAATGTAGCAATCGTGGAGGTTTTAGCCTGTACTTAAGGCTCATCCTCACAGTCATCTTGCATGATTTTTGGCTCTGGAGCTGAGTTTAAAGTAGCCTTTTCTGACAACTATGTGGGAAGCCTGGCATTCTTACTACCTATACATTATTACTGTGCTTTATTTTAGTTGGCGAAAGAGTCTTGTCACTGGCCAGTGTCTTTGTTACTGCTCTGTTGTTTTATGACACCATGACCAAGGCAACTTATGAAAGCAAGCATTTAACTGGGGGCTTACTTACAGTTTCAGAGAGTTAGTCCATGACCATTGTGGCTGGGAGCATAGCATAGCAGCAGGCAGGGTGCTGGAGCAGTAGTTAAGAGCTTATATCCTGATCTGCAGGCAGCCCTGAGACTGCATCTGGTGTGGGCTTTAAAACCTCAAGGCACACCACCAGTGACTCACCTCCTCTAACGAGGCCTTAGCTCTTAATTCTTTGTAAACAGTTCACCAAGTGGGGACTAAACGTTGAGCTGAATGAGCCTTTTGTGGGGAGCTGGTATTCTCGTTCAAACCACCACAGCCAGACAAGTAAGCTGGCAGTGTAGCTGAGGAGTGTCTGCATGGAGGAAATCACTGCAGGAGTTTAGTACAGAGGAGGCTCTGGAGCTGGGAAACTTTGAAAGTTCTGAAAATGTTAGGGAAGGGAAGCTTTACAGTGTATGAAGTATTGGGCCTTTTCAGCACCTTGACCTTCTTCTAAAAAGGTTTTTTATGTAGATTACGGAAGAATCTTTCTGGTCCATATTTTTCTTGGTTTATAAGGAAACTTCACTAGAAATTAGAATATACTTCAAATTGCTGAAATTTAGGCGAGTCTTTTATTATCTATATAAACGTGTCTGTGTGTACTTGGTTCTGAGTATATGCATTGTATGTGCATGTATGTACATATGTGTGTGCATGTAGAGGCCAGAGGTCAATGCTGGGCATCTTCCTCAGCCATTTTTACTTTTTTTTTTCAACTGAATTTTATTGCATGTGTGTTGGGGTGAGGGTGGGCATGCCACAGTGTGTGTGCAGAGGTCAGAGGACAACCACATGTCTGTGTGTCGGGGAGAGTTGGTTCTCCTTCTGTCTTCACATGGGTTCTGGGGACAGAACTCCGTTATCAGGCTTGTACAGCAAATGCCTTTCGCTGCTGAGCCTTCTTGCCAAGCTTCCACTTTTTGGTTTTGTTTTTAAGACAGAGCCTCTTACTGAAGCTGAAGGTCACTGACTGGGCTAGCGAGCTCTAGGGAGTCCATCTTTCTCTGCCTCCCCAGTGCTGAGGTTCCAGGTAGATATAGCTGTACCCAGCTTTTTGCATGTGTTATGGGGAGCCAAGCCACATTCTCATGATGTTCACATTGCTTGAGCTTGTCAACAGCAGCAGTGCCTAACCTCTCTCAGACTCCTGAGTGACAGTAGCATTTCTTTTTTTTGGTTTTTCGAGACAGGGTTTCTCTGTGTAGCCCTGGCTGTCCTGGAACTCACTCTGTAGACCAGGCTAGCCTCGAACTCAGAAATCCACCTGCCTCTGCCTCCCAAGTGCTGGGATTACAGGTGTGCACCACTACCGCCTGGCTGACAGTAGCATTTCTTTTTCTTTATTCTAGAGTCTACATTGTTTGCTGAACTTGGCTATTTCACAGACACTGATGATGTGCAGTTTGACGCAGCACATGAGACTTATGTAAGTACTTACTGGTGGAGAAATAGGGGATACTAGATGTTTCATCTGTACTGTGATTAATGCATGAGGGTTTCCAAATACTAGCTTTAGCCTAATAGCTAAGTGACACTATTAACCGTGAATGTTAGCAGCTTTTTTGTAATCAATAAGTACAGAGCTATAAAACTGTCTTGGTCTTGGTTTGAGAGGCCTTGTTTACTTTGCATATGTTTTGTCTTAGGGGTGAGTGACTTTGGAAAAGTCATTTGACAGCCTATTTGTTTGTTTTGGGCTCAAGGCTTCACTCTGTAGTCTTGGATGGTCTTGAATTTACTATATAGCTTTGGCTGGCCTGCAGTTGCTAGCGGTCCTCTTACCTTACTCAGCCTTTGAGTACTGAAAGTATAGGTGTGAGTGGCTAGCTGAGTCCTATTTCTTTATTTTTACAGATCCTTTGCTGCTTGTGGGACATAGTGGGATTAAGAGGCATGTGTGCGTCATGTATCTAGTCAAGCGGAACTTACCAACTTCATCTTCAAGAGCTCTGAAAATTAGTCAGATCCTTATTTTTATTTTTGATTGGTTAGAGAACTAGGTAAAAACTATTACTGAAATACTTTGGGCCATCAAAATAGCTTAGATTCTTTTCTTCTTTTTTTGATCAGTGTAGGTGGCTAGCTTATAGAATTCTGAACTTTGCCTCATTCTTGAAGCCTTTACCTGCTGAGCTTGTCTTTTGGCCCTAAAAATGTTTTTTGGCTTTGTTTGTTTGTTTGTTTGTTGATCTTATAAAAATTTTAGAAGTTTGAAAATCACAGAATGCTAGGGTAAGAAAGAACACCCTCCTGTAGCGCTAACCCTCTTTATGACTCCTGTGTTGTTTCTGGCTGTGTCTGCATTCTTTCTTCTATAGAGAGATGATATAAATAGCTATTTATTTGCACTTGTTTTTCTTAATAGAAAAGGGAAAAAAAAATCTATCTTGTTAGATCTGGATCTCTCTTATGGCCAAAGACTCATTTTGTGAATCTTTTTTTTTTTTTTTTTTTGGTTTTTCAAGACAGGGTTTCTCTGTGTATCCCTGGCTGTCCTGGAACTCACTCTGTAGACCAGGCTGGCCTCAAACTCTCGAACTCAGAAATCCGCCTGCCTCTGCCTCCCAAGTGCTGGGATTAAAAGCACCGCCCGGCTTTTGTTGTTGTTGTTGTTGTTGTGAATCTTTAATGGTCTGTTTCCATAAAAAAAAATTAAATTTCACAAATGTTTTAGTTGTTGAACCTGTTTCTTTTTCTAGTTGATCTTGTCTTTTGGCGAGCCAGAATTGCTGTATCTCTGGGTTCTCTGAGATCTGCGTGTGGAGCAGTTGGCTCGAATAGTAGCTATTTTGTTATCCATGGAGAACGGTGCCTGATGGTTTCATTTCACAGTGTGTGTATTCCATTTTAATCATTTGCTGATTTGACCCCTACAGGAAAATAATTTTGATCATCTTAATTTTGATTTGGATTTGATGCCTTGGGAGTCAGACATATGGAGCCCCAGCAGCCACTTCTGCTCAGGTAATGATATGCTTTGCCCATAAACACTCTGGCTAGACTCATGCTATGGATTAGTTAATACTCGGAATTAAGTGGGTCAGAAAATCCTGGTCAACAGGGCTTCGGAATGAAAAAAGGATGAGGCTAGGGTTACCAGCAATTAGGAGCCTCCTCATGGGGTCCCTGAACTTTCTGTACATCCTTTTGAGGGCGGCAGCTTTTGAGTAGCTTGGCTAATGCTACTTTTTAAGTGATCAAAGTTTTATAATGACAATAGAGAGAACAGGAAATTGGATAAAAATATCATTTGTTTCTAATGCTGGTTACTTAAGGTGTAATGATGAACCTTTCACAGGCTGTTACTCAGGGCAGATCAATACATCATAAAATCCTTGTTATTTGGGCAGAGTTTAACTACAGTTTATAACAGTTTACTTTGGATTTTAATGTTCAATTTAAAAATTTAAATTTAAAATTTATGTGTGTGTTTTGCCTGTATGTATGTCTGTGTACTGCTTGTGAGTACAAGGAGACCAGAAGAGGGTGTCGGACCCCTTGGTACTGGAGATACATAATTGCGAACCACTTTGTGGGTGCTGGGATTGAACCTTGGTCGTTAGGAAGATTAGTCAGCTCTTAACTGCTGAGCCATCTCTCTAGCCCTAATGTTCACTTTTTTGAATAAAACTTATAATTCCCTTTTAGCCTTGGCTAATGTGACTACACATGAGAATCGATCAGAAGTTTCATTTTCCATAACTTTATGCAGTTTCTCAGCCACTCTGGCTTTGTCTACAGTTTTGTTATTTAAAACCAACGAGCCATTCTACTGTAGGAGAAAAAGTAGACTTTTATTTTCTTTGAAAGAAAATAACATTCTCATAACTTATAGCTTTTTCTTACCAGTACATCTTACCTTCTTTGTTAACTAGATATAAAAGTTATTATTCCCTTTAATCTCTACTAATTTTTTTCTGGTATGTGTATGAGTGTGGTGTGTGTGTGTGTGTGTGTGTGTGTGTGTGTGTGTGTGCGCGCGCGCGCACGTGCGTAGAGGCTAGAGGACCTTTTTTAGAAAAAAACTTTTAGATTTTTTTTTTATATTCATGTATGAATGTTTTGCTCACATATATGTTTGTGTACCATGTGTGTGCCTAGTGTTTTCAGAGGTCAGAAGAGGATGTTAGAGCCCCTGAGTAGTGAGAATTTTGGTTTCTTTAGAAACACAGAAATATTATAAGAATGTGTTTTTGTTTTAATACCAGGTTTGGAATATGGGACTGCTTCAGATTGCCTACAGTGGCTGACTATGATTTGCCTTGTGCTCTAGCAGGGGAGTGATTTGCCAGCTGCAGATGGTTTCTGCAAGTGTCTGAAATTTGGAATTCTGGGGATTCTTCAGAATATAAATGTTAGCGCACCAAGAGGTGGGGTGGATTGTTGGTTGGTAGTTAGTTGCTGTTAGTTGTGGTTTGTAAGTAGTCGTGTGCAAAGAAAAAAAAAAAACAAGAAAAATTAGATATCCTGACAATTAAGATCAAACTGGCCCCAAGGAACTTGACACCCCTAGTCAGCAGGAAGTAGTCTAATGATAAGGTTCCCCCTTTCCCCTCTGTTCCTTTTCCTCTATCTAGTGTTAGGGGGTTGAAAGGGTAGAAGAAGGGGAGTGAAGGGTGGAAGAAAAGAGAACCCACAAAGTAGCCAGAAGTCTGGCTACACCCCGGAACTGGAGTTATGGACTGTTGTGAGCTGCCATGTGGGTGCTCGTAGTCAAACTCAGGTCGTCTGTTTAAAAAAAGTGCTCATCACAGCTCTCTCAGCTCTCTGGTCCCCTCTGTCCCTTTCCAAGTTATTTCTTTGCAGCAGAGCCTCTTCCTGACCCCAGAGCTCATGCTCTTTGGTGAGGCTGGCAGCTAGCAGTGCTGATGTTTTTAAGGGAGCTTGATGAGGTTGGGCTTGAGTGCGTTCAAAGAGCCTGGAGCAGGCTGTCACGGACAGGACAGAGCTGACAGGAGAAACTGAGGGAAAAATGTCTTCTCCTATCTTCTAGTATGCTTCCTTCTTCGTCCCTGCATACACCACCTAAAAGGAAGTGGGTGTAGAGATCGTTTATGTCATAGATTGTAGGAGCTGAGAGAAAGTGGACATAGAACCAGCACATTTCCCCAGGAAATCTCTTTCTATCTCTGCCCTTCCTATTCTCCTTCATTTTATGTTCTTATTTTGCTCAATTCTTGTCTGCCCTCATAGAATGTGAGTTACATGAGTGTTCTCCAGTCCAAATTCCTGATCCATAGATTTTGGGAAGTTAATAAAATGGTTGTTTCAGCAAAGATTTAGTTACAGGGTAGTAATAGAATACTGGGTTGGGGGGTGTAGCTCAGTGGTAAAGTGTTTACCCAGCATGCACAAAGCCTAGGGTTTGATATTCAGCTCCTCAAAACAACAACAAACGTTAGCAACAACCAAAGAACCAAAAATAAAACAAAAAGCCAAAAATCTAGAGCAAACATTGACCTTGTGTTTTTATATTCTGAGGTGGAGGCAGGACTTGATTAGATGGATCAGTTCATACAGTGAAGGTGGGTAGGTAGATACAATTTAGATGAGAGAGTGCTGTTCGGGTGTGTTTCCTTTCAGATTCTGGGGGATTGGCTTTTTGTATATGGCATAATACTGAAAACAGCTTATAGAGTACAATGTTCCACCTGCTCTTGTTTCTTAGCTAAGAAAGCCAGTGCAGCTAGTTTCTTCTTTTTCTCCAGAGGATGAGTGTAGATACGACTTCCTACAGGAGTAGAAGTGTTTCCTGTTTTCTGATCTTGAGTTTTTCATTGAAATGATACATTTTTGTAACCTTGCCCCTACTACTGATTGAATTTTCAAAAATTTGACCTTTTTATCCATCTTATTCTGAGTTTATATGGATTGCTGTGTAAACTGTTCTCTATGTCTTTCCATGACAGACATTAAGGCAGAGCCCCAGCCTCTTTCTCCAGCTTCCTCCAGTTGTTCCGTCTCCTCTCCTCGGTCCACAGACTCGTGTTCTTCAACTCAGCATGTTCCTGTAAGTGCACAGTCTTCTGTGACGGATCAGGCTAGAACGCTATCTGGAAAATGGGAGTGGGGTGGGGAAGGCAGTTGACATTAATGTTTTGAGTTACCTTATTCTTCTGAGGACAAGGCGACTTGACAGGGCCTTGTGGGAGTGAGAAATCTGCTAGTCTCGTGGGTTCCCCTCCCTCTGCTTTGTTCTTGCTTCTGTAATGCCCTGTAGTCTTTGCTTACTGGCTTCTTTCCTTCCTGTACCCCTCTTCCTCTTCCTTAGAACATACATTCTTTAAAGACTTGGAAGGATGTAAGATTTATTAATTCCTGGGTCATAGAGTTCAGCAGTTCAGGAACTCCTACCTTTATCTTTTGAATGAACTAAGATCTTTACAAAAGTCTGATAGCTCTTTGGAATGCATTCCTCTCCCTCTCAACAAAAGCTTTGAGGTCAAGAAAATGGAGTACTTGATTTAAGTAATGGGAAAGGTAAAGTACAAGAAGAAAAATCAAATTAATATTTCATGTATTTTAACTTTTATACATTGAAACATCTTTATTCTGTCAGGTTCTATATTTAGCAAACTTCTAAATTTGGTAATTCTGTTCATTTTTTTTTTTTTTGTGTGTGTGCGTGTGTGTGTGTGTTTAGGTAGATGACAAACTTCAGGAGTTGGTTCTTTCCTGCTGCCATGTTGCAGATCCGCTGAGTTTTTCAGACCTGCACAACAGACATTTTTCCTTGTTGAGCCATCATCTCTCCAGCCCTCTTTTCACTAAAATTCTAAGATTATTTTTTTGCTTTTGCTAGGCCATCAGCACCTGACCTTAGGATAAAAGCTATTAGGATCTTAACTGGTGGTCTGCCCTCCAAATCTCCAAACCTTTCTTAGTAGAGTTGTCTTTTAAAATTACAAAAGGTACTATGTCCTTTGCCCTAAAACCATTTAATAACTTCCTGGTGCTCCAAGTGTGGAGTTCAGCTTCTCTGGGTGCTGGCTCCTCCACAATCTGCCCATGCTTACACTTTCTAGTCATGTCAGTCTTGTTTGCATTGTCCTTCCCATCCTCACACACCATTTAGCTTGGGCCCTGTGAGTTCCTTTTGAGAACAGTGCACTTGGCTTGTCGTGCAGCCCTGTGCTAGGCACTTTGCAGCACTGCAAGTGAGGTCTCTGTTCTTACAGTTGTAGGGTTTTCTGGTTTTGTTTTGTTTTGTTTTTTAATGAGTCACCATCTAACTATATAGGTACTTTTCTTGCTGCTGTGACAAAACCCCTGACCAAAGCAACTTAAGGAGTAAAGGTTTATTTTGGCTCACAGTCTGTCATGGACGGGAAGGCATGGCTGCAGGAGAGAGAGGCTGCTGGTCACATCATGTCCGTGGTCAGAAAGTAGATAGACGAACGTCCCTGCTCTGCTTGCTTTCTCTGTTTCTGAAGCCTGGGACCTTGGCCCATACAGCAGGCTGCCCACACTTAGTGTGGGAATTCCCACTTGAGTCTAATGTAGAAGCTCCTCAAGTTCTGCCTAGAGATCTGTTTTCAAGGTGATTCTAGATCCTGTCAAGTTAGTGACCAGTATAAACCAGCACAGCAGTCAAAGGTGGCTTCTAGCTTATGGTCCTGCTGCCTCAGCATCCCAAGCGCTAGGATTACAGGGTTCTTTTAAAGGCGGAGTCTTTCCATGTTGCCCAGGCTGGGATTCAGTGCAGGAATGTGCCACTGTGTCTGGCCTGGGTTAATTTCTTTTGTTTTTTTGAGGCCCTTGCCTCACTGTGTAGCTCTCTTTTTATGGAGAGCAGGTTGGCCTTGAACTTGTAGAGATCCTTCTGTCTCTGCTTTCTAGGTGTTGAGATGAAAATAATAGCCAGCACACCCAGCCTGGTTACTATCTTTTATTTTATATTTATATAAAGCGTACATATATTTATTATTTTATTATCATTATTGACCCTACTAGTACTGCTATTAATTGTTGCTGCTCCTCCTCCTCTGTGTCCTCATCCTTTTTCTTGCCTTTTACTTCTCTTCCTTCTTTCCTTCTGTTCTTCCTCCTCCTGTTACTCAAAAGTTTCTTAAATTTGCAAGTATATTGTGGGGATTTTTGTCTTAGCCATTTGTGAGTCAGCTGGCCACTGAACTCCAAATTCTATAATGTCTGCCTCCTGTGAACAAGAGTATTTTTTAAACAACAATACAACTATCAAAGCCAGGAACTAAACATTGATATAAAACAGTAATTTCATATGCAGCCCTGTAGGCCTATTTGTTTTAGCTGTTTTATTTGTTTTTTTATATATCTTTACCTCTATTCCAACCCTTATTTCTTCCAACACCCAACACTAGGTAGGAGAGAAAGAAGGGTAAGAGGGGAAACGGGGTGTAGTTCTCTTTAGACTACTTCCTGCTGCCTAGGAGCAAGGCTAATCTTTGTCTAGTCAGGATATCTCCAACTTCTTTTCTCTCAACTGTCATCAGCAGCTGACCGAGCCAGCTCAGTCAGTCAGCAGGTTCTTCAGGGCAGCAGTGAGGATTAAAAGAAAGAGACAATTAGACAACACTGCAGCATGACCCCAGCCAGTTCTGAGGCTGAGGCCGGTTTATTTTCTCCCAGTGTGCTTTTATACATTTTAATTACATGTCAATTCTAGGTTGAGGAACAAGTAAGACAATAAACAAAGTCCTGTGATCACTGTTTCTAAGGACTTATCTGGATAACCAAGATATCTGAACCTACTTCCCTGTCCTGGCCCATTATCAGATTCCTGCCTGAAGTCTACTTTTTTTTGTTTTGTTTGTTTTTCAAGACAGGGTTTCTCTGTATAGTCCTGGTTGTCCTGGAACTCACTCTGTAGACCAGGCTGGCCTCGAACTCAGAGATTCGCCTGTTTCTGCCTCCCAAGTGCTGGGATTAAAGGTGTGCGCCACCACCGCCCGGCTGAAGTCTACTTCTTTGTCCTGGCTCAAAGTCAAATTCCTGCCAAGGGCCCCAAAAGCTCTCCACAAGCAGCAACAGCAGGAACTAGCAGGATAAACAGCCAAACAGCCAGGCTTCTTCCTTAGAGCTCCCCACCCCCACTCAGAGCTCCCTCAATCTTCTCTGAGCTCTGACATTTTTTTTTCTCTCTCAAGAGTTTCCAGAATTAAACTATCTACAGTGGGCACAAATCATGCCCCTGCTGGAGCAGAGGCGAATAGTCTGTTGCTGTGGATAATCTGAAGCAGGCCACACCTGGGATTAAAACGAAACCATGTTTACATAGCATAACTGGGTTTTAGAAGAAACCAAAACTCACTACACAACCCCAGTTTAGACTGTGTGATTTCACATGTCGCTCCCGTTAAGATTTATATCAGCAAAAGAATCAGGTTGTATTGTATATGGTTGTCTTTCTGCTTTAATTTTAAAGAAAATTAACTTATTCTGGAACAAGTCTTCCTTCTTGACTTTGTGCTTTAATGACCTTACCATTTGGCCTGCCAGATGTTTCCTCAGGATTGTGTCTATCTTTTGTTTGTTTGTTTTGGGTTTTGAGACAGGGTTTTCTGTATAATCTTGGCTGTTTGGCTGTCCTGAAACTCACTGTTTACCAGGTTGGCTTCCAACTCATAGATATATACACCTGCTTCTGCCTCCCAAGGCCTAGGATTAAAGGAATGTATCACCACTGCCAGGTCTGTTTTTGCCTTTTGAGATAGGATCTCACCTCGTTCAAACTGGCTTAAAGTTGGTATGTAATGGAAAATGACCTTCAACTCCTGATTCTCCTGCTTTCACCTTCCAAGAGCTGAGGTTACAGGTGCAGGCCACCACCCACACTCTTCCTTGTCATTTATTTTTGATGATAAAACTTCAGTTTGATGATACAATTTCAGTTTGTCCTGTTACTGGTGATCATCTCAGTCAGCTGACAGCATCTGCTGGGTTCTTAGCTATGAAGCTACTCTTTCTTTGCTAGTTGCCAGTATTTTGTGAAGAAGGTACTTTTAAACCATGTTAAAAAATTAACATTTACTTTTTTATTTTTTGTGTATGATGTATGGTTGTTCATGGATGGCTCATAGTGAGTGTGTGGAAGTCAGACTCTTTCTACTACGTGGGTTCTGGGATTTGAACTCAGTGCCTTTATTTGCTGATCCATCTCTCCTGCCCAAATGTGCAGTTCTTTATCAAGCTTTATGTCACTCATATATTTGCTAATATTAGTGTTGACTTATTGTTTCCCATTCAGTTTAGATTATAACCCATTGCTATGATTACTTACTTTGATTCTTGTGTTGTCTTGTATTTAGCCACTAGGAGTCTCTTTCTATGGCTCCTGTGATCTTTTACTATGTTTCTGTTGGGCTCAGCCATCTTACATCAAGGCTCTTTCCTGAGCCACTGCCCAACCCTTGCCGTGAGTTCCCCTTGTGAATGTGTTCCCAACCTTTATGGTGCCCTGACAATTCCCCCAGGCATAGATGGTGGTTTTGCAGCCCCATCTAGTGCCTGATGGTTAAATTATTCAGGAAGGAATATTTTCTCTTTTTTTTTATTATTATTATTTTTATTTTTATTGGATGTTTTATTTACATTTCCTATGTTGTCCCCTTATCCCATCCCCCACTCACCCAGGAACCCCCAATCCCCTCACCCCTCCTCCTTCTTCTCTGTGGATATAACCTCTATCTACCCCCCAACTCCCACCTCCCCACCCTCAAAATTCCCACCCCCTGGGGCATCCAGCCTTCATGCGGTCAAGGTTCTCTTCTTCCACCTATGCCTAGCAGGGCCCTCCACTCTTACATATTCAACTGAAGCGCTGGATCCCTCCCTAAGTGCTCCCAGGCTGGTGGTTTAGACCCTGGGAGCTGTGGTTGGTTGGTATTGTTGCTCTCCTCATGGTGCCACAAAATCCTTTCAGCTCTCCTTCAGTCTTCACTCTAACTCCTCTATTGAGAACCCCATGATCAGTTCAATGGCTAGTTGTGAGCATCTGCCTCTGAGTATGTCAGACTCTTGAAGACCTCTGAGGAGATATCCTCAGAACCGGGGTTTAGATGGTTGTGAGTCACTGTGTGGGTGTTGAGAACTAAACTTGGGTCCTCTGCAAGAACAAGTGTTCTTATCTGCTTAGCTAGTTCCAGGTCCCAATTTTGAAATTTTAAGAAGTTCTGTTGTGTTTGTAGGCCACAAAGATATTTCCCTGCATTTTCTTATATTAGCCATATAGTTTATCTTTAATGTTTAGATTTTCTATACCTTTTGAGCCTACTTTACTATGTGTTATTAGAAGGGAATCTTAATTTTTCCTATGTTACCCTAACAAATATGACAGATTCACTGAAAATTAAGAGATAATTGTTAAATGTCAGTGTCATCCTAATACATCTTTATAGTATCTGTTCATCCATTAAATAAAATGTTTAAGATTAATCTCCTTTAAATATTATGGGAAAAGGCAGTGTTGATAAAAAAGAATTACTAGAATTACTTTAATTTTGAGATCCTTTTAAGGAAGAATAAAAGAAATGAGAAAGGATATTAGTCGTAGCTCTAGCCTTATGGTGATAAGTGTGTATGACTACAGATCGGATAAGATCAGAGTGCGTGGGAAGACATGGGAACCCATGAACGATTTATGCTTGTTACATGAGTGTGGCACACTGATGCTGCCTTTTGAATGTCTTTCCTCTGGGGTCTGTGAGTGCCGACTTCCCAATAGTCACTTAAACCTTGTCTTATCTTCACACTGAGCTGGCTTGTGGCACTTCTCTGTTATGTAAGATCTTGTTCTCTTTTGTACATAACTTGTTGCTCAGAGATTCCACCCTTGCTCATTAGTTGTTTGTGTTTTGCTGCAGGAGGAGTTGGATTTGTTGTCTAGTTCTCAGTCTCCCCTTTCCTTATATGGCGACAGCTGTAATAGCCCCTCCTCAGTAGAGCCACTGAAGGAAGAGAAGCCTGTCACTGGCCCTGGAAACAAAACGGGTATCTGTCGGTCTCCCAACTTCTATTATTTCTATTTTAGACAACTTAGGTTCCATATTTAAAAGGCAAGTCTTGGATTAAGCTTATATTTATTAAACTGGCTTGTGTTTTTGAATTAGTCTATCATTTTATTTTATTTATTTTATTATGTGTACGGGTGTTTTATCGGCATATGTGTCTGTGAACCAAGTGTGTACCTCCTGCCACCAAAGGCCAAAAGAGGGCTTCAAATCCTCTGGAACTGGAATTGCAGACAGTTGTAAGCTGTTCCAGAATCCAGGTCCACTTGAGAAACAACCAGTATTCTCAAAGCCCCTAAATTACATGTTATTTTTGTTGTTGTTCTGAATGATAACTGTGAAGAGGACAAGGGGGAAAGATCTTTTGTGATGGTCTTTGTCGTCATAGGTGAAAATAATTAAAATAGCCTTGGACTCCATTGTCTTCAGGAGAGGTTACAGAGGTCCTGTTAAGGCAGTGTGTGAGGTTATGCCTGTCACCTTATTAAGCCGCACTTCATTCAGTAATTTTAGCATTATCCTTTACCAGTTCATGTTGCCCCTCCCAGTACTGAACAAAGGATGATCTCAGATTACAGAATAGCTGTACTTACTTATGCTCATTGCTGATCGAAGTCAGGATAATACATAGAGGAGACTATGTAACATATCTTTTCTTAACTTTCTTCAGATTGACTTGAAGTTTTGTTTTTTTACTTTAGAACATGGGTTGACTCCAAAGAAAAAAATTCAGATGAGTTCAAAACCTTCAGTTCAGCCCAAGCCTTTATTACTTCCAGCAGCACCCAAGACTCAAACAAATGCCAGTGCTCCAGCAAAAACCATCATCATTCAGACCCTACCCGCCCTTATGCCGCTGGCAAAGCAGCACTCGATCATCAGCATACAGCCTGCGCCCACCAAAGGTACCCATGAGACTATGATGCTCTGTGTTTATTGGAAAGAAATAAGGCTTAGATTACACATTTTATTTTAATTTGTGTTAAAATTTTTGAACATGTGCCATCACATCAGGAAATGACCTTGGTTCTAAGGATTTTGCAGAGATGGCTAATGTGGTTCCTGGCCTTGCAGAGACAGAACACTACAGATCATAACTGTTGCTTCTTTTTTCTTACAGCTTTTATTGTGATAATATCTGTATTTAAGGTGCTGTTGTGATTGTTGTTGTTGTCCTCCTCCTCTTCCTCTTCCCCCTCCTCTTCTTCCTTCTCTTCTTCTTCCTTCTTCTTCTTCCTCTTCCTCCTCCCCCTCCTCTTCTTTAATTTCTCTCTTGCTTTTTTGAGGCAGAGTCTCATGTATCCTTAACTGGTCTGGAACTCTGTAAGTAGACCAGGCTGGCTTCAAACCAACAGAGATGCTTGCTTCTGCCTCCTGAGCACTGGCACTAAGGGTGTGTGCCCCACCTGGCTGAGGCTTTTGATATAAAACCACTTAGAATGAGGAAGACATTTTGGAAGACGTTTGTATTGCTATTTTATTCTGAGATTATTCTGGCTGTGGCCTTTTTGTTTTATCTTTTTTTAGGGGTGTTTAGGATTTAAAATAATAATTATTATTTATAATAATAATCCCATTTCAAATCGGGGATGCACTGAGCAATAATCTGGCTCTTAATTTCTGAAGAGACTGTGTGAAGTTTGATAAGCAGGGCATTGAACTAGGTTTTAGAAGACCTGACTTGCCAACTTAGCTCAGAATTGGTGTTTTTCTATATTTTATCCACAAGATGGCCTCATGTACTTATGAGTCTACAAGAAAGTCAAATGGATGTCAATGGTTCATAAACTAGTGAGAGAAATTCAGGTTGAGAACTTGATAATCTTGAGATACATGACATCTCTTAGGCAACTTAGTCATCTCTGTACTTACATTTATCTGTGTACACATGGCTAAGAGAAAATTTATGCAGTATTCATTTCTCAGGATTGAATTTATTGGCAGTAATTAACACTAGGAGTTAGAGGGCATGTGTAAATAAATAAACATCAATGTTACATTTGCGTTTATGGTCATGTTTACTTTTAAGATTGGTTAGCTTATTTCTCTGGAGCATGGTTTCAATGGGGAAGGCTTCGTCAATTTGATCTCCACCATGGGCAATAGAACATTGATTAAAAAGAACTAAACAAAAGAGTGGATGTATTGGTAAAAACCTATTCCTAATAAAAGAACAAAACTAATAGACAAACAATTTGAAATGCTTGCCTTCATTCAGGAGCAACATTCCTATTTGTTTTTTTAAATAGGAAAAATAGCAAGCCTATGGAATAAGTGTTCTTGTGATTTGCAAGTGGATGTTAAGGGTTCATAAACTCTTTTGAAATAAGGTAGGTATAAGATTTAGTGTATATTCATAAATGGAATTTTAGGACTAGTACCTAAAGTATTTTCAAGACCTCAAAATGTCTCGTGTCTTTCCAAAGGCTAAGAATTTGAGTTCATGAAGAACCTCACTGTAGTTTTCACAGCTACTAAAGCACATGTAGCCAGAGTCTGCCGTTACCATGCCAGTCTGTAAATAAGGGAACACCCTCAAGAGTTTGCTGTAAGCTCCTGGCTGTGTTCCAGGGATAGGAGATCATTTTTGGTTTTGTTTTTTTGTTTTTCAAGACAGGGCTTCTCTGTGTATCCTGGCTGTCCTGGAACTCATTCTGTAGACCAGGCTGGCCCTGAACTCAGAAATCCGCCTGCCTCTGCCTCCAGTCCGAGATCTATAACAAAACACAGATTGTTATTTTCTGAGCAGCTTATCAGTTCCAGAGATACATTTTGAATTTCAATAATTCCATATGATCTGAAAGCTATATTTTTATGAGCATGTGCCAATAAAATTGTTTGTTTTTATAATATAATCTTTGGTATAACTATTATAATCTGAAGATTAGTGTGTGTCTTTCATACTTTTTAAAAATTTAAACTTGGAATGAGAGGAAGAAAGTGATGGGGAGATAGCTCAGTCAGTAAAATGCTTGCCGTGTAAGCATGAGGGCCTGAGTTCAGATTCCCAGCACCCACACAGAAAGTTGGGTGCTCTAGTGCCTCTCTGGAAGTAGGCAAATCCCTGACCTCTCATTGATAATTTCCAACTTTTTTTTTTTTTTTTTGGTTTTTCCAGACAGGGTTTTTCTGTGTAGCCCTGGCTGTCCTGGAACTCACTCTGTAGACCAGGCTGGCCTCGAACTCAGAAATCCACCTGCCTCTGACTCCCAAGTGCTGGGATCACAGGCGTGCACCACCACCGCCTGGCTGATAATTTCCAATTTCAGTGAGAGATTGTCTCAAAAAATAAGATGGAGAGCTACTGAAGAAGTGCCCAGCAGCAACCTCTGGCCTCCATACACATGTGCATACATGTGAACACTTACATATGCACATACCACATGGACAAAAGGAAAAATGGAGCAGATGTAGTTCCTACAGGTTTAGGTTCAGATTCTCTAGTGTGGGGTTAAAGTGATTCGAAGTTTGCTTCCAGTTAAGTTTTCTGACTTTGCAGTACAGTGTCATTGTTTTCTACAACCTTTTGTGCTGGCCTATCTCACCCGGCATTAGCTCTTGAATTCTGCCTACCTGAGTTATTTTTTTGAGTATTTTTACTTCTAAGTCTTCTGTGGCCTGTAAGAATGTTATAAGTAGTGCAGTTAAAAGATGGCTAAAGCCTAGATTATGTGAAAATGTAGACCTAGAATTGGAAGGAGACTAAGTCTAGCATTGTAAGGGTTGGTAATTGATGTTGGGCGGGGGCATCATGAAGGATAGAGAGGAAAGTCTCTAGCGTGACTTATGTGTTTCTGTCAGACTTCTTTGATGATATTACAAATTGCTGAAATTAGGGGATACTTAGAGAGTAACATCTAGTAAGAAGGGACGCCAGAGTGGACCCTAGTGGTCTGGCTAACCAAATCTTGGTAATTAATTATAATATTTCTTCTAAAAAAATGATGAAGTAATCAGTTCTATTCTTAGAACTTTACCTTTTTTTTTTTTCCCCCGAGACAGGGTTTCTCTTTATAGCCCTGGCTGTCCTGGAACTCACTCTGTAGACCTGGCTGGCCCCAAACTCAGAAATCCACCTGCCTCTGCCTCCCAAGTGCTGGATTAAAGGCATGCGCCACCACCTCCTGGCTGAACTTTACCTTTTAATTTGAGATTTAAATTTGTATAGTTACATAACAATTATGAGAACTAATGAGTTAACAATACATGGAAGCTACTATTAAACAGAAAATGTGTTAATAATGAATGTATGCCAACCTGTTATCATGCACCATTCTTCTAAGTGCTTAAATGCCTTATCTTATTTACTAGTCATGTGTCTCTTGGGGTAGGTATCAATATTTTCATTTTATAGGTGAGAAAGACTGATGCAAAGAAATATTTGATCATATTGACACAAGTATGTTATTTTAGAAAAAGTAGGTATGCCATAAATGTTTGATATATAGTTTGAAATTTTTGAAGAATGTTAAACAGAAAAATCTAACCATCACAATTAGTGGTCATCCATAGAAGTATTTAGTATTGAATCCAGCTGTCTTCCATTGAGGGGATTTACATAGAAAGCTAGAGAGGATTTTGAGCATGCCAAAACGGATAAACAACCCTCTGATGTGTTCTGTTTTATGTGTTTCTACACCAGGAACAGTAGTCACTGTGTTCTGCTGCTAACTACTGAAGGCCCCAAACAGGCCTTTGCAGTTTATCTGTGGTCTGGTCAGCACTTAGCAAGTAACTATGAGAGTCTTCTGGTTTTGAATATATTGTAATCAAAATTCAGTGGTTCCTGCCATTCTCATTCTCTTCTCTTCCTCTCTCTTTCTCTTTTTTTCTCTTCTCTTCTCTCTCTCTCTCTCTCTCGACTTTATTTATTTTATATATATGGCAAGTACACTGTAGCTGTCTTCAGACACCCCAGAAGAGGTCTTGAGAATGGCATCGGATCCCATTACAGATGGTTGTGAGCCACGATGTGGTTGCTGGGAATTGAACTCAGGACCTTCGGAAGAGCAGTCAGTGCTCTTAACCACCGAGCCATATCTCCAGCCCTCACTATTCTCTCTTGAACTTGAACATGCCTGAAGTATTTAGAGGGTCCTTGGCTTAAATAAAGTGAAGACAGTGGGGGAACTTTAGGGTGTAAAAGCTTGAAGTATGGCCTGGAATAAAGGAGGGAGCAGTGGTGTGGTAGGATGTGAGCTATAGTTGGTGTACAGGCTGCCTCGGTCATCCTCCATCTCCCCAGGCTGTGAGATAGCGGTGGTGAGACAGAGGACCATAAAATTTGGATTTTTTTCTTCCTCTTTTCTTTCTTCTTTTTATTTCTTTCCCTTTCTTCCCTCCCTCCCTCCCTCCTTCCCTCCTTTCTTTCTTTTTTCTTTCTAGGATTTGAACCTAAGGCCTTTGGTCATACTTGGCAAGTGCTCTATCACCAAACTTTATACATCCCCAGCCTTCTTTTAACTTTTGATTTTGAGACAGAGTCTCATTATGTTGCTTAGGCTAGCCTTGAATTCCCTTTGTGACCCTAGCTGGCCTTGAACTTGTGATCTGTTTTCCCCAGACTTCTTAGTAACTGGGATTATAGGCCTGTACCATCAGGTCCAGTTTTGGATTTTTTTTAAAAATTAATTTAAAAGATCAGTACAGATATTCACAAGTGTTATTTACCAGTGCTTTAACTCTGTATTTGGGGCTACAGGTCTGACTTTTTTTTTTTTTAAAAAGTAATTCTATGTTTTTACTATCTCCTTTGTTACCTTGAAATAGACTCAAGGTTTTGAACAATGCTTAGAGAGGGAGATTTTTGTTTTGTTTTAAAATCATAATGTTAAACTTAGATTGTATGGAACGTTGTTTCTGAGAATGTTGTTCTATTCTCCAAGAATTGGCTTATGTCAGTGGTTCTGTAGACTGTGGACCTGGACTGACTGTGTGGTCGGGATGGGGATGGGATGGAGAGCAGTGGTCTATGGCACCTTGCAAACCATCCCTCAAAGCTCTGTTTGTTGCAAGCTCTTTGTATAGTTACTTTAAAAAAACTGTGGCTATATTTTTGGTTAATAAACTACAAATTTGTAGTATTTCTTGATTGTCTTAGTTTTAGGTACTATCTTAATACATAACCCAAGGCTAGCCTTGAATTCAAAAGTCCTATCTCAGTCTCCCAAGAGCATGGATTTATAGCCATACACTATTTTCTGTCCAATACAAATTCATTTAAAACTGTAGCTAAATTCTTAATAACATTTTCTTGTTATGTGTTTTCTCAGTCCATAGAAACTGACCGACAACTCTGATTATGTTGTGTGGCTGGGCTGTGTTTTTGCTGTTAAGAAGAGTACTTTTGGGGATGGTGGTATACCTGTGTACCTGTAATCCAACACTTAAGAAGCTGAAGCTAGAAGATTGTGAGTTGAGGCTAGCCTGGGGTTCATAGCAGGTTCCACTTCAGCTTTGAGCTACATAGTGAGATCCTGTCTCAACCACCCACTCACTGCCACCCAGGGTTTAGTGGTAGAAGGCCTTCCTAGCATGTGCAAGACCCTGGGTTCAGACTTCAGTGCCCTGAGAAGTAAGGATATTCAGAATTAGGAATCCCTGGCTTCAGTTTTACATTGGAGTGAATATAGCTTTTTAATGCCAGCTTAACTTAATGTTTTATTCAGTGTTGTTAAAACACAGTATTTGTTTATATGTTAAAAATATATAGGCCGGGCAGTGGTGGTGCACGCCTTTAATCCCAGCACTTGGGAGGCAGAGGCAGGCGGATTTCTGAGTTCGAGGCCAGCCTGGTCTACAGAGTGAGTTCCAGGACAGCCAGGACTACACAGAGAAACCCTGTCTCAAAAAACAAAAACAATACACACACACTTTTATTTGTATATCTGGCCTAAACATATATTTCTATAACTGCCTTAAACCTATTTGTCCATTTTTTTATGACAGAAGGTCAGTTTAGGGGAAAATAAGAGGATTAAATTAAACATTGTTTGGCAGTGTTATGTTTCAGTAAATGATAATGTATTTCAAATTTAAGAAATTAATTTTACATTTTCTTACAAACTTGTAAGTACTAATAACTGAGTTGGGAAAAATTGGTAACATTTGAGTTCTATTTCTGGTCTACTTTTTGAGGTCACTGAAACAAAGAATTTTATTCTATGAATTTGATCTTTTTTTAGCCAAGACAGATGTTTTTAACAAACAGGTGTTCTGAAAGTATTATTTTGATTTTCAGTTTTTCCTGACCCTTTGAAATATGAAACTGAGTTTTATAAGCCATCTTAAACTGTCTGAATGCAAACGCCTGATTTTCCTTGAAGAAAAATTATAAATTTTTATTGAAGTTTAGTTTCTGGTTATAATAGTACCTTTATTAAGCTAGATAAAGCCAAACTACTATGGATATTAGGCAAAGCTTTTAATACCTTATAAAATTGACAAAGGAAACAAGCAGGTGCAGTTTTAGCAGATCAGCGTTCTGAGTTGCGCTTTCCTGAGGGTATTGATATGAGTTCTCCTCAGATGAGCGCAAGCAGAAGATGATGGCAGCTGCAGAGGTTGGGAAGCAGTGTGACAAGCTGGTTAGGCGGGGATCAGGAAGCCATTACTGTGCCTCTCAACTCAGGGTTTATGTTTTTTGGCATTGTAGTCATTCGACTCTTTCTACATATTTGTATATGTATATATTTGTAAATCTTAATTTAAAAGATTTGTTTAGAATAGAAAAATTCATATAGAACTAATAAAATTCAGAGGCTAGTTACTGAAGAATGGAGGTATTACAACAGATTGGTTATGTCTTGTTATATTGAAAAAGATAAAAATGAACTGCCTGGTTCGTTCATGTTTCTAGTGAGTATTTTTGCACCCCCTCCCTCCAGTATTGAGAATTAAACCCAGGGCCCTGTGCATCTCAGGCAAGCCCCCTGCACCGAGCTGCATCCTAGGCAGGCCCCCTATACTGAGCTGCATCCTAGGCAGGCCCCCTATACTGAGCTGCATCCTAGGCAAGCCCCCTGCACTGAGCTGCATCCTAGGCAAGCCCTCTGCA